ACTCATTAGTCCCAGTGCGAAGCAACGGGTAACTGCTAGTATATAATTAGTAGTACTGTTAGGCGCAGATGAATCATGCATTACACAATTCAAAGATGATTTATACAGGCTAATCTAAACATTAAAAGATCGACATGAATTTTTTTATTATATTATATAGATATAGATATAGATACTGCCAACAATTCAAACAACATTATAAAACAAACATTAAATCTTGTTATTAATAAACAAGAAATGAAAGTTTCCAGTTTTTTTGCCAATATTTCGTTTTTCACAAAATGAAGTTTAGTAGAAATGTTGAAAAATGTACAGTAGGCTTGAGAATCCCTTACATTCCTTACGTAATTAAGTTTTTATTATAATTATAAAAGTTCCTTGGATGTAGGGATTGGAATCGATTCCCATTATTAAAATCGATTCTAAAATCGATTAATCACGATTAATCGTTTCGCAAATACCGATTTTTTTTATACTATTTATAATAGGTGTGTTTAAACACATATCACGTGATTACAAAAAATTACAGTGATCAACAAACAAATTTCCTTTTTTGGAAATTTGTACAACCTTGTGCGATGGCAACTTGAATTTTATTGGGAGATAAAATTTCCTTTTTAGGGGGACGTCTAAAGCGGAGTCAAATCACGTGACTTCGAAAAAAATTTATTTTCTAAATAAAATTTTTCGCAATATATATACGACCTTTTAAACATATATACTAAGTGTATTTTGGCCTGCTCTGCAAGTTTACTTAGAATGACAAAATGAGTTTTGAATGCCGTTTTCGATTTATTTGACTTTTCATTTTTGTCTATCCATTTTTGGATATGATCGGCAAAAAAGCTTTTGCTAATATATAAAGTGAAAACCAGTATTCAAAATCTACCTTTTAACCTTAAGTAAACTCGTAGAGCAGGCTAAAATACACTTATTTTATGATTTTCAAGTTTATGTTAAACTTGATTCATAAAAAAATTAGTTCACTCATATTATATCAAATCACGTGATTTGACTCCGCTTTAGACGACCCCCTTTTTAGGAAGTTTGTATTCCGTCACGTGATTCGCGGGCGGAATTATGAATTTGGCTAAAATTAACTATTATGAACAAATAATAATTTACGGTCAAATTAACAAAACTGCGCCACAATAAGTAGATTCGATTTTTATTCGAGATTCGATTTAAAATCGATTCTTATCGATTTTCAATAGTTTCGATTTTAATCGAATCTTTTCCGATCCCTACTTGGATGATATCTTTGTCGATCCAGGAAGACCTTTCCGCATTGTGCAACAAAAAAAATTGTGAAACATAATATAGTGATACAACAGCAGTTACCATATGCAAAGTCCAGTGATTAAAATTATCTTGTATTAAAAAAAAAAACAAAACATTTTATTAAATAAATTTTTAATAATCCAAAGTATAATTGTAAAGAAAAACTTACTTTTCTTTGAATAAGGAATGGCTTCTTTGGTTGTTATTTTCGACAGCTTGAGATTTTAAAAAAAATATTTAAAAAATAGCTTACTTTATTTTTACTATTAAAAAAATAGGAAAAAAAAGAATTACAATATGTTAGTTGTTAATGTTAATAGCAATCCTTACTACTACTTAATAATAATAATTTAATTACATTATAAATAAATAAATATTTATTTATAGTATTCCGAAAGAGTCGGGGTTATTGATCCGACTCGTATTTAGGGTCGCACGATTTAATGACCTGAACTCGATCCGACCCGTCGAGTTGGGTTATACCTTTACTTCGATCTGGCGACCCGAATCTTTTATTATATTTTTACAGCTATTTGCAAAAATAACGGACCATCCAATTCATTTTTTCATGCGCAGTCATACGCAGTCATACGCACAAGAGCATAGTTGATCGGCATAATTCTGGCCAAAATTATATCAGTCGAATATGTCACGTGATTACTGATAAAAGTTTAGCAACCGGGCAAAATTCAATACGCTAAAATTGTGCAAAATAGATACGTTATACAATATTTTATACAGGAAAGATTTTTTAATTCCAGCCGGAATTATGTTCTTGGCCGGAATTACTGCCGATCAATTATGATCATGTGCTTATAAGTGCGTATGACTGCGTATGAAACTTCGGAGCATCCGTTATAGAAATACTGCGGCGACAAATAGGAATTAACGTCATCAATAATGCTAATTGAAGTATCACAAAGTATCAAAAAAAAAAATATTTTTTTAATATTATTTGTTATTAGTCATCTTGCCTATAAAAAGAATGTTTAATGCAATTTTGCCGATTATGCATTAGTCACAAAATTCATAAAATCCCTATTTTATAAAATAGAACTTTTATTAAACAACAATTAATTATGTAGAGAAACTTTGAATCACAAATTTTCAACAATTGAGTTTCCTTTCTTATTCTTAGAAAGAATAATAAAGGTGTCTATATGCATTTCAATGTATAAATTATTAGTAGTTCATAACAATCATACATCGGAAAAAAGCCGCTGTTTTAAATAAAATCTTATTCCTTATTATTCATAATTTTTTAATTTTAATGAACTTATATTCATAATAAGGTTAATACTCCATAAATTAAAAATCATAGAATTAAAGAAAAAATAAAAAAAGTCCTTAATAGAACCAAATTAAATTGGCTAATTCTTAATAATTTAAACTTAAATAATCTATTGTAATATATTCGTTAATTTTAACATAGATTAGTCCTTCAGTCATTTTATAAGTCCGTAATTTTATCTAATGTAAACGAGAAATAAAAATTAAATTTAAAAGTATGTCAAAACGTTTTCATTGTTGATGTTGAATATGATGGGAATCAACATGCTGTAATCGAGTAACTTGGTGATTGTCATCAATATTATTATTATGCAAATCTGTGTCCTCATAATTATTGTTGATATGATTATCTTGGTGATTATCATTCATATCTTGGTGATCGCATAACAAGCTATTTGCTTGCGTTGTCGTTACATTGTTTTCAATATTTTCATTATGTAAATCTGTATCTCTATAATTATTGTTGATATTATTATTAACTTGGTTAATATCATTTATATCTTGGTGATCGCATGTCAAGTCATTGGTTTGCGTTGTCGTTACATTATTTCCAATATTTCCGTTATGCAAATCTGTGTCTTTATAATTATTATTAAGATCAACTTGTTGCTGTATGTAAGCAAAGTTTCTAGCGCCATTTACACTTTGCAGAAACCTCTGATTTTCACAAAATATGTTAGACATAATCACTACATGTTACTAACAGATGGTATATATATGTTCTACATATTTTAATATAAGTAATATGTTTGTAATATTAATAAAATAATGTTATAATATTTTTAATATATGTTGAAATTTAAACTAATGTAGTAAATAATTTTGTAATATGAATAAAATAATTTTACAATATTTAAAAAGTATGTTATACTCAAACTAATGATATAGTGAATATTTTGAATACATTGTTAATATATTTCAAATATGATGTTGTTATATGAATAACATATTTTGAATAGAAAAACCAATTTGAAGTAAAAATACGAATAATATATTTTGAATATGTTGTTGATATATGAATAACAACGCTTCTAGCATGTGACTATCATATGACTATAAGGTCGATCGCTAGTGGCATTTTTTTTCGTCTCGGCTGTCCAATATTGGCTATATGAAGACAGTATGAAACCTTAATTTTTTTTAATTTTAAATAATACAATTATTTTTTTTTTTTTAAAAAAAAAATTTAAATTATAGATTTTATCCTTTTTGTCCTTTCACTTCAACTCGGCAATAAGAATGTAAATATAACAATTTTTTTTATTAATCCATTAACGAAAATATTATCTGAAATAAAATTGTGTTCAAATTTACCTAATGTTAAAAAGTAATAGTTGTTAATTTATTTATATATAGCAAAAATGTATAATAACAAATTGTGACTTTTATACACATGTTAAATTTAAATGGTAGTCAATAAATTGTGTAATTAAACATAAGATATTTTGATATATATATAT